ATCCGAGAAGCTTCTTCCGTTCTAAGGTCAAACGGTGGAGAGTCCCAGATTTAAACCCAGTGGGAGTTACCCCCCAAAGAGGGACAAAGGACCCCCTGATGATCCTCTACCTAATCACATGAGCCAAGGTGTGAAAACGGGAAACCCTGGCTGATTGTGACCCACTCCCGTTTTCACACCTTGGCTCATGTGATTAGGTAGAGGATCATCAGGGGGTCCTTTGTCCCTCTTTGGGGGGTAACTCCCACTGGGTTTAAATCTGGGACTCTCCACCGTTTGACCTTAGAACGGAAGAAGCTTCTCGGATGAGAGGTGAAACCTCTTCAAGCAACTTACAGAAGTTCAGACGCTTTTCTTTCCAAGCTCCTTAGAGTAGGTCCTGATGATGTACAGACAACCTTTTAGGGTTTTCACTGAAACACCACAGCTATGACAATTTCTGAACTACCTTAAAATGCTTATTCAAACTCGCCTTTTTACCATACCCCTTGACACCAATAAGTCATATAATGAATGCTGAAAGAAAGAAAAGCAAGTCTGTTTGACTGGAGGGTCACTTGAATAAATAAAGCTGCCTAAATGCAAATAACAATAATAATAATAATGATAATAATAAAATGTGTACTGAACAGTATCTATTGCAGGTAGCCAAAAAGATAAAAACCCTAACATCACTTCAGCCTTTAGCTTTGCTGGCAAGCCTGCTCTCAGTATCATGCTAGGAAAGAGTTTGTTTAATAGTTAACTAATACCTCTGTTAACTATATAGAATAGTACTAGTCATAGAGATTTAGTGCCAAGCTAGAGTAAAGACAGTGTGCTAATAACACTGTGTTTGCTACACTTGACTTGCAGGTGCAGTGTGTACGGTTGTGCCCTGCTGCTGACTGTGACTGCTCCTTTTTCCTCCTTTCAAATAAGCTATTGTCGTTTTTACAACAAAAAATGTCAGACTGTTCTGGCCTGTGCTTATACAAAAGTAAGCACTGGTAGGTCTTTTAGGTTATATTTGTATAAATGATCCATTTTCCTCTGATGAATTGTTCCCTAGCTTTTTGAAAAAAATCTTCACCTTCTCTTCCAAAAGGTAAAAACTGTCAGTTTGTAAGCATCCCATAATCCACAGTGACCTCTCCATATAAAGTCTGTTTCCTTTCTGTATCGTTGCTGACTTGAAAGCGAACTGCTATTAAGCTTAGATGGAAAGTGCCCGTCCTTCACGCCTAGTTTCTTTTTAAAACTAAAATGTGAAATCTTCTGGAGTTAAACCCTTCACTTCTTACAGACATTTTTGTATT